AGAGCTCCTCCAGCAATCAGTGCACCAGATTCTTCTCTAGCAGTTTGTTTTCAGGGACATGTTGAACTTCAGATATTGTTTTCAACATTTACAGTGCCTGATGCTGAAGGTTTCTGCCCTCAGTAATGCTGTTTCCAGAGGGGTGACAGGAGTTGTTCTTGGGCTGTACTAAGGTAGATTCACTCTTGTCCAGAGTTCCAGAGGTTCTTGAATGATAGAAATCAGGAGACCAGACCTAGAAACCTCCTCAAGTCTCTGTACCCTTCCTGAAATACAGTCAGAACATGAGTAGGAAATTAATGTCTATCTCTCCTGAGCATGCATTGCAAAGCGTGTGTCAAAACCAAAGTGCTGTGTTCCCCACAAACTATTGTCTAGACCCAACTGTTAGTGCAGAGTTCAGATACAGCTGGTCTAATCCCACTTGGGTCTGCACTCCGAAGGAAATCCCTGTGCCTTGCCCAGGGTGTTGTGTTGGGTAAATACTTCTTATATCTAGATCCAGCCAGAAGGAAGCACCAGGCACAGGATGGGATTCAGGCCAACTCAATCTGGTGTCTGGAAACCCGTTCCTGTGTCTTGCAGTTGTTTCAATCAGTATGTTGAGGTGAACAGATCCTTATTTTGCCTATACCCATGAAGGTTTTCCTCTGGGGAGTGTGCTGAGTCTGGGAATCTGCTTTGTTGCTTATGCCTGTGTTGAATGGGATGATACTCCATGTGGCAAGCAAGTACTCATGTGCCTTGTTGAGGGTAGGAAGGATGGAAGAAGGAGAGAAACTTAGGGATAAGCTGTATTGCCAAGGCTGACAGAGGCCTTTGCTTCCAGCCTTTGGATTGTGTTATTTCTCTACCACATTTATGAATTAATTGGCTAAGCACCTCCAATTGTTTCTCTGTTTCTATGTGTGCTGCTCTGATGTGATTATCCATGATGCTGGCCAGGCATATCCAGACATTGCTCCTGGTGAAAGGTATTTTTTGGCTGTACATCTGTACTTAGTTGAAGAACTGTTTCTCTTTTTGAGTCTGAGCTTAGGTGACTCTGCTCCAGCCGTCTCCTTTTCTGATAGAAGGATGGAGAAGAGAATATTTTGGTCATTTGAAGCAGGCTTTCATATGGTGCATTCCTGGGATGCTTTTCTTGGTTGTGGGAACAGACAGAACCATTCATCCCAGTGTGAAAAGATTGCAGGAAGAATCTAGTGGAGGTCTAGAAAATCCTTGTCATCTGTGTTATCTTGGGAAGGGAAGAAAACCAAACTAAGCAGAGCTGGTGGCCCTGGAGTAGCCACAGGACCTGATGGGATTTTCTTTACAGTGTGTCTGGAGAAAGCCACATTGCCATCAAGTTCCATGGGAAGGCAAAGCTTACAGCTTGTGCAGGTAATAGGAGGAAGGAAGAGAAAATCTTGTTTGCCTATGTTCAGTCTCTGCTGCTGGAAACAGGTTTTTCAGGAGGGCTCTGCTAATAGAGCCCGTTGGGAAGCTGAGGGTTCCGTACAGGAGATCAGGGCACGTTGTTATCTCTAATGGAGCAGGGCAGTGCCCTGTGGAGATACTGGCCTGTGGCCCAGGCTGAGGGTATTTCTGCAGCACAAAAGCTGCATCACTCTGTTGGGAGCTAATGTGGGACTTGGATGGCTCAGGGCAGCATTGCTCTGGCTGGTGGAGATGACCTAATGGTGTCATTTGGAACAGCTCTGTGCTCGGCGTTCTGAGCTTCCTAAAAACCTGCTCATGTATTTTTATGTGGAAGTGGGGCAGAAACTAGTGACAGAGGAGGAGTAGCTCTCCCTAGCAGCAGGCATAGACTCTTTAGAAACATCTCAGACATTTATTTTTACCTGTGTATTGGTGACAGAGGAGGAGTAGCTCTCCCTAGAAGCAGGCATAGTCTCTTTAGAATCATCTCAGACATTTATTTTCACCTGTGTATTACTGACAAACTGCATTTATAGTACCCAACTGCATTTATTTTACCCAAGTTCATCCTCATTTCCCTGTGTGATGATGAGTGTGCAGGCATGTGCTAAGGGAGTCACCCCTGAGTTCTACCTCTGGTCAGTCTGCAGCTTGTGGTGGTGACAGTGACACTTTGGATGGGTGAGTTATGCCCCTGCCAGACCTCCCAGTGAGCCAACTTGTGGTGGGCACAGCCAGGCAAGGAATCTGCTGTGGTTGCAGGGTGTCTTGAGAAGTCTGTGAATGTGTGGCAAGGAGGCCTCAGTGAGTGTGGCCATGAGCTGGTTGGGGTGGTTGTATTTCAGGCTAAAAGCAGCTATCTGTTGTAAGGGGAGAGTAATTAGCATCCTGTGGAATTAATTTGTTTTTCAACATTAGTGTGTTGAAAGCAGATGTGTTTACATGAAGGTTTCTGGCAGAAATCTTTATGTGATGGGAATACACTTCCTCTTGTGTCTCTCCCTCTGCATAAAAATATCCAGTTGTCTGGAGACAAAGCAGAATATCACAGTGTCCTGTGACTCGTGTGGCCAGGGAGGATGAACAGAAGTTCCCTGTCTCATAGATAATCAGCAAAATAGAGGAACAGGCTAAATTCACTGTTCCCTAAAGTTTTTGTGGTTCTGGCTGCAAAGTTAAGCGTCCAGAGACTCCCTTTAACAGAGGCCTGAAAAACTAAAATGTTTTTATTATTCTGGCACCGTTTCCTGTTGAAATTCTTCTCTACTACTGTTTATCCTCCCTCTGTGTCCTTTCATACTCCCATCCACATTCCTGGATGTGGATTCAACCAGCCATCTGGAAGCACCAGCATCCCCAGGTTGCTTAATCCCAAGTACAGCATCAAACCCTATAACTAGAAAGCAGGACAAAGTGATGAGATGGGTAAATCCAGGAGTAAGGCAATGTTGGGAAGAGGCAAACCTTCAGGCTGAAGGTAGAGATGGGGTGAAAATAGAGCACCATCCCCTGTTGGCACCAGTGCCAGAAATGAAGCTGCTCTGTAAAATCAAAGCCAGCCCTGGGCAAAATGTGCTGTATGAGATGGAGTGGGTGGGAGATGTCATGTCTGATGGCTCGAAGGATAGGAGGAACCCGGTTTATCAATGTTTCTCACCTCCAGATTTACTTACTTGTCTCCCTGTTTTATGCTACACAGAGGTGGAAGCTGCAGCCTCCTGTCCAGCTCTGACAGCATCTGCTCCTTGCTGGTTCCGTTGCACCAAGGCTGTTTTCTCTCCTCTTTGATGAGACCTGCTTACTCTTGTCTGTTACTCTTGCTGCTAGTGATGTGATCTGAGCATCCCTCTTGTCATAAACAGTCCTGACTCCTGTGTGAGGTAAATACCCACAGCTGGTGCTGTCTGCAGGTGTCTGAGACCCCTCCAAATGAGGATCATGGGGAAGAGAGGGCTTCATCACTTGGGTTTTCACTCCTTCCCCCCCCCCCAGGCTGTCTCTGCTGATCCCTCCTTTCTTTGTCTCTGAGCCAGTGTGGGACAACTGACTCTTACTGCTGAAACACTCTTTGGCATCTCAGATGTTTGTGAGCCCTCAGGAACACAGTTTTGGAATTCTCCTTGTGGTTTTTCCTCCTCTGTGTCTGCTTACAGCTCTCCCTGGAGCCCTGCCAGCCCTCTGCTCGCTCTGCCCCAGCCTGTGTTGAAATCCTTACTCATGCCTTAATCACTTCCCGTCCTGCTATTGCAATTCCCTCCTTGCAGCATCTGCAAACCTTTGCTACAGAGATTCTCAGGGGTGCTGCCTGCAGCAGGCTTCCTCCTTCCTTGGCCAAGAAAGCAGGCCTGGGTGTCCCCCATTTCTGGCTGTCCTTGCAATTCCCTTTGCTGTTACATCCACGCTGTCCCTGGCTTGCACTTCTGCCACCTTCTTCCCTCCTCATCCCATCCTGCTCACTCCCAACCTCAGCTTCCTTTTGGATGATAGGCTCAACTTTTTGGTTGTTTTTCTTTATCCATTAGGAATGTTTTTGCATTTTTAAAGCAACTTAGTCATTTCCTTCATTTTTCTGTTCTTGTCATAAAACTTGAGAAGTTGTGTGCTTGTTAATGCAACATCCTTGCAAGGAATTTAGAGGTTTTATTCCATCTGCCTCCTGGGAAGGGAATGACATAGGGAAGGGTTGTGACTTCACTAGTGAACAGTTGGTAGAGTCGTGCTTAAGTTTCAGAAAGAACTTCACTAGTGAACAGTTGGTAGAGTCATGCTTAAGTTTCAGAAAGTTTTTTTCAGTCTTCTTGCAAAACCATGGGGTTTTGGTCAGGTGCCCTTTTTCTGTCACAATTTCAGTCTTCTTGCAAAACCATGGGGTCAGGTGCCCTTTTTCTGTCACAGGCTTTTGGATTTGTCCTTAAGGAAAGGAGCTGAAAGCCCTGTCCTGAACACTGGCCTCATCCTTCCTCCCCTGCCAGTTTGGAGAGGCTGCCCTGAAGGCTAGTGAAACTAGGGGCTGTGCACCAAAGGTCTAGTGCTGAGGGTCTGTGGTGCCTTTGGTCAGGGCTCTGACAGCACAACTGAGGCTTAGCTGATGCATGAAGTGAGGCTTTAGAACTTAAAACCAGTCAACAATTTCAGTCACTCAAATCCAAAACTGAACCTAAATTCTTGTTTCATGGCTCTAGGAGATTTCAGTCACTCAAATCCAAAACTGAATCTAAATTCTTTTTTCATGGCTCTAGGAAGTTTTAGCTTTGGCCCAGGGTTCTTCAGGACTGTGAGACTGAGAAAAAGAATGTAACATGATGATGGGAGATGAGGGAAATAATCTCTTTTGTTTTGCAGAAGAAATGAAAGATGCTGACTCTCCTAGGGTTGTAGAAGGGAGTTGGGCACTGCTTTCTGGGAGCCTATTCCATGCTCTCCTGCTCATTCTCTATCTGATTCCTTTGTGCTCTTCTCTCCCAGGTCCGTGATGATGGAAGAAGAGTTCCACCACCACAAAGCCTGAGCAGTGACACCAGGACAGCTGTCTGAGACACTGGCAATAAAGGCCTGAGATACAGCAGACAGCAAACATGCTGAAACCAAGTGGACTTAAAATCCCTGGCAGGGCTGGGAAGCACTCCAGCCCGGTGGGACGGGCATCGGGAACCACTGCAGCTGCAGTCACCACTGGCTCAAAAGAAGGTAAGGGCATGACTTGACAGGGGCATGAGCTGACCCAGGTGATTGCCTGGCTTAAAGGCAATGGCCTAGTGGTGCCAGTGTTCAGTAGGATGTGAAATTCCCCATCTCTAAGTAGATTGATCATCAGCATGGATCAAAACAAGTCTAATGGGGTGAGTAAACAGCCTCCCTTTCCCAAGTAATGCACAAAACAGGCAGGTTGGGGAGTGGGTGGGAGACAGATGGATCCTCTGGTCTCACAGAGAGGTGCTGCCTGCTCTCTTGCTTGTTTGCATATATGTACCTGTACAGACACTAGCATTGGAAGAGTTGGTAGTGAAGCAGATGGGAACCTTGCCCATGACCTAAACACCATCTTGTAGCCATTGCTCCTGGCCTGTGATGATGTAGGAGTAAGAACCAGGCACTGTAGGTGATTCGCCCTGTGCTGGTTACCTCAAATTAGTGTCTTTGTTCAAATAGAATCATTTGAAGCCCTGGGATTGGAATAGTGATTTACCTCTACATCTGTATGCCTGCCCTGCTGATCTATAGCCAGTGTGCACATACTGCTAAAAAGCACTTCAAAAGCAGTTGAGGTGTGTTTTGCCTAGGACTCACTTTCCTGGCTTCTTTCACTGCTGGATTGGTTTTTTTATTAGTTCTGATACAGGAAATATTCATGATGTAAGTTTTGTATGTCATGGTTTTCCTTTCACTTTGCTACCAAAGCCTTTCCTTTGCTTCTGGGGAAAAGCATCACTTAAAAAGCAAGAATTAGGGAAAAGTCCTGAGGCCTGTCTTCCCTCAGAGGCTGTGCAGAGGTGTCTTAGCAGACAGTCAGTGCATGTGCTGTGGTATGAAAGGGTCAGTCAGAGTGGGGTTGAGGCAGCCTCTGGGCTGAATGCGACGCCTGTTCACTGGAGCTCCTTTGTGCCTTGTTCAGCCTCAGCCATCTGTCACCCAGAGATGTGCAGCAAAGCTGGCCCTGCGTGGGCAGAGCCTGCACCAAACTGGGTTTGACCATTGCCTGAGAAGTTCTAATTGAGTTTTATTCCTGGAAAAATGGGTGTATGGGGAAAGGGAGAAGTCTCGTGATGGTGGGTTGGTACTGTGCACCCACTGTGCTGTGAGCTGTGTTGCTGCTCCTCTGCCCCTCAGGGTGGTGCAGGAGGCTTTTGGGAGTTGTGGAGCTGCTGGAGCAATCACAGCATTGTGCCTTTCCTCCCTGGAAGGTGAGAACAGAGCACAACGGGGCTGGATGAATAGCTCTGATTGGGCTTGTAGCATCATCTTTGGATATCATACCGACATCATCTTCTTGCTCTGTGTCCTGGACAAGAGCTACTAGTGTGTCCATGCATGGCCTGGATCTACTCTGTCTCCTGTAAATCTCTCCAAAGACCTGGCCAGCTTTCCACTGTCTCCTGCTCATCTCCTTTGCAATGGTAATCAGTAGTGGTGAGCAAAGTGTGCATCCCAGATTCCTGTGGAATTGCCTATGTGCCCCTCTCTGAGAGCAGCAGCATCTGTGCTGACTGTGGAGCCAGGCCACAGCACTGTCATGGGATTCAGCCTTTGACTGGGGAAAAACTCCAAGAGAAAACATTCTATTTTTCTGTCAGAGTGGTTTAATTGTATTCCAGAGCCAAGTGTCCACATCACTGAAACTCTAACCACAGCAGGCACTGACGTCAGCTTTGGGAATGCCTGCAGCCAAAGGATCTGGTGGGAATGGCCATGGAGACTGGGATTAATCAGATCTGGGCCCCAGGAGTGTGATGGAGCTTTGCCTCATCCTCACTCTTCTGCCTTGCTAACCTGCATCACCCAACCTCTGCCTTCTGTTAATCATTACTGCTGTTAGCCCCCAGCAGCTAGCACTAATAACCCAGCAGGTAGCTCTGTGCCAGCCCCAGGGCTGGCAGATCTGGCACTGTGCAGACAGTACTGAGTGCTGTCCCCAGTGTCAGGGCATTGGAGCCTTTCTAATGTGCAGAAGGACAATGGAGAGGCTGAACACAATTTTCTTTTGTATGTTTAATGTGAATACTGCAAAGGGCTTTTTCTTTCCTCTTCCGTCACTGTCCAGGAAAGTGCCTTCATGACATACATAATGGGTGTCAGCTAGGGTGGGAAAATCCTCCCAAGGTACCAAACTTTACATCAGAGCTTAAGAAGTTGCATGAAGGAGGCTGTGTGTGAGGTGTTTGAGAAACCCTGCAGAAACCATGAGCTCTGTGCTGTCTTTGAATGTTTGCACAGCTCTGTGACCTGTGTCTGCACACTGGGAGTGCTTCCTGGGACACCAACAGGGTTTGCCTGACTCCACAAGAATCCAGTACACCCACATCCTTCTGAACTCACTTGTTGCCTCTGCACTTACCTTCCTCTTGCCAGAAAAACCAAAAGAGACTTCTCCATTTTCTTAGGTGTTTGTTAGAGCACCTGAGCTTGATAGAAGAAAATCAGTGTGCTTTGGGTTACAAAACAGAGAGCTGCAACACTGATCTCTGTGAATTTACTACCTCTGGGGAGGATAGAAACCTCAAAAGCTTGAAATAGAGTTATGGAAGAAAAGCATAAATCTAACAAAGTGCAGAATTAAACTGTAACAATGTGCACTCTGTTTGCTCTGGGAGCCTGGAGCTGGCTCAGAAAGGCCCCACACCAGGGTTATATCTTCCAGATTGGCTGTTAAAAGGTGTTCATGCTCCAGCTGTAACTGAGAGTTGTCAGAGCCATTAGATGCAAATTAATTTTGAAAAGCTTCACACCTTGGTCAATCGTGTCTACAAAAGTACTTTCCTTTATTCTTACTTTGGAATACACAAAGCTGTTTTGATTTCTTCTTTCTCATTTCCCCAGTGCTCTGTTCATACTCTGTTGTAGGAATTAAGTGTCTCTTAGCCATCTCTTATCTCTTCTTCTCCCAAGCAGTGGAGATGTACTCTTTTAGACATCTCCATGTACTCTTGACAGCTCATCCTCTGTACCAGAAAGAGGATTGATGCAGATGTGAGGTGCTCTGTGCATGTCTGTAGTATTTCACAGTTCATGGCTGTAGGTTTCTACAGAGATCAAATATGCTGTAGATCACACTGAACCACCTTCTTACACGTGCTGTATCAGACATATTTTTCCTTAAGACATATTCAGAGTCCATTCAGCTCGTGGAATGTCCTCTTTGGACTTTCCTAGAGAGGAGACTTGTTGTGCCTCCTATCTGAGCTGGTGTTTTCACAGACCCACGAGGTATAAGACATTTTTGGTGCTATTCTGGGTTAGGTCCATTGGCTTGTTGTGTGTGTGTGGCTTCTTTTTTTGTGAAGAAGAGCTGAAATGGTCATTTCTGCTGAAAGTCCATGGGGGACTGGCACCTGATGTGGCCTCCTGGAAGACATTACCCTTGATTTGTGTCCATGATGGCCATCCCCCTCCCTTCTTTCCCATGGAGCTGGAACAATGGGAAAAATAAGTTCTACTGCTTTGTGGTAACTATTTTCCTTAACCAGACTGAAAATTCATCTCTAGCTGTCTCAGGAGAGGTTTTCCCACAAATGTGTTGGCTTATTTCCCATGCTTCAAGTAAGGAAGGTTACTGCTCTTGACTCCATGTGCAAGAGAGGTTTCTGTGCTAGAGGTGTGGGTCACTGGTGAAGGGCTCAGTATAATGTTTGCATTTCTTGTTGCTGCAAAGCTCAGATGTCTTGGTTTCTTTCCCACCCTCCTCCTGGTCAAGCCTGGAGTTGGAGGATGGAGAGAGAATGGAAGCTGTGATGAATGGGCCCACACAGCCCTCCCAGCTGGTGGAACAGGTGAAAGCTGCTGGGAAGGGAAGTGTTCACATTTCAGAGTGGGTTTTGTCTGCTCAGAGCAGTGTTAGGGTAACATGGTTAGAGGAGAAATTTGCCTTTCATACTGCAGTTTGCTGTCAGCTGGCTCTGGTGCTCATTTATGGTTCTTAAATCTCTTGATCAATTAAAGAATTCTGGAAAAGGGGGAAATAAGAGGAATAGTTGCAGATGGAGCTGGGTGACACAGGCTCAGTGCTGGAAGCCAAAAAGCCCAAACTTATTAAATTTTCTGTGGGACTTAAATGCATCCAGTCAGAATCCAGCTTAGATCTGGGAATTTACAGATGGATCCTGTCTTTCTGAATGGGCAAGTGCGAGTGTCTGTGACGTGAATTTCATCTTTAGGCACTGCTGAGTATCAAAACTGTTTTTCAGCAGCTGCCCACTCCTATTGCCAAACGCTCTACTTTGTTAGCTAAACTCCCCAGCATTGCCAGGAGCCTGGGAATGTCTTCCCATTCTCATATAAGTGTAAATACATTAGTTCGGATGAAGAATAAATGCACAGAGCTAGGAATGTTTGCTGACATAATGTTTGCCTCTCAGGCACTGTGTGTTGCTTTTGTTTACTAAAAATAAGAGTGAAGTGGACTGGAACACTCCCAGGGCCATTAAAGAGCAGGAGATGACTGGCTCCACAAGGTAATTAAACTAAGTGTGCTGTAATGAGGGTTTGATAAGGCTGAGCTGTGCTGGCTATAGGGTGGTAGTTAGTTGTGCTTGGTTTCTGGGTGCTGATGGGCTTAGGCTGGTCCACTCTGGTGGAGAATTACTGCTGTGCCCAGGGGCTGAGCCTGCACCAGGGGGTTAACTTTATGTTCTGATTTGTTTTCTAGAAATGTGATTAATTTCCAAGGGCTGTTTCCAGCTTGAGACTCAGCAAGTCTGTATGGCCAAGTCTCTGCATCTATCCAGGCCCTGTCTGTACCTGCCTCAATTCTGCTGGAGGAGCCTAAATCACCACCACATTAGATCCTCCTATAGGATTAGTGCCTTGCTCTGGCTGGGAAATCTTCATTCCTTTTTATTTAACTGCAAGAGTGTTACCAGCAACATCTTGGTAAATTAACTTGGAAATGAGTTGTTCGCCCCCCCAAGTTTTTCAGGGTGGTGTTAGAGTAATTTGGATTGATGCATAGCAGTAAGGAGTCATTTCTGTTACCT